TCAGCAGAAACAAGCAACTCTGCCTCCACACAAGGTGCAAGGGGAGAATTAATTCTCCAAAGTTGTCCTCTGGCCTCCACATAAGCACAGCACATGTGTGGGCCCATATGCCTTTTCATATAACACACATACACAGGCACACACACACAAATATACACACATGTGCACACATACACACACCCTGAAAAGTGACTGCATTTCCATCCCTTAACTCCCACTCCTTGCTGAACTTATCCAAACTCAAATTTTCACCTGACCTCTCTACCAAACTCCACCAAATATGTTCTGGCCAAAGTCATCAATCTTCTAAATGGGTTCTGAAACTCATCTCATTTAACCTATTGACCTTTGACACTTTTGCTCTTCCCCTCCTCCCTCAGCATCCAATAGACTGGTCACTCCAGTTCCACCCATCAGAGAAGCTACTTAACATTGGAAAACTCCAGAATTCAGACCTCACACACTTCTCTGCCTACATCTGCCAGTCTCCTTTCATACCATGGTGTTAAATAACCTGAGGAAGTTTGGTGTTATTACCCCCAGGCCAGATCACACTAGACTGTTCCGGAGAACTCATCAGATACCCAACAGTCACCTCAATGTATGATATAATACCAGGCTAACCTACCTGCTCCTCCCCACCAAAGCCTGCCCCTTCTACAGCTTCCGTATCTCGAGTTCAGAAAAAAATAACTCCTGCCTTTCCCTCTTGCTTCCTAACCCATCACAAACCCCTGTTCATGCTGCAATCAAAGCCTGCACAGGTTACAACCACCTCTCATCAATGCTCTAGCTTCCCCCAAAACCAGTGGGTGCTCCTGTCATTTCTCCCCAGGTGAAATCGCTAACCTTGCTCTGCTCTGGCTCTCCTCCATTTGTTCTCCATTCAGAAATCGGATCCATGTTGCTCTACCCAAAACCTTCCAGGACTCCTGTCTCAGTGTACGGAGACCAACAGAAGGTGGTCCTGGACAGGAGCAAGAGCAAGTGGATCCCCACAGTTTGAGCCAAAAAGAGGGGCATATCATTGGGTCAGGACACATGCTGATTTTCCTGATTTCCCTAAAGGTAATAGCATAGGGAGGCGCACCTCTGGCTGGAGCCAGAGTCTGACTATAAAGCCCCACTTATGACTCTAATGGTTTTATCTTTTTATGGTTTTCTGTGTATTGCTGTGATAAAACACCATGACCTAAAGCAACTTAGGAAGGAAAGGGTTTATTTGGCTTACACTTCCAGATCACTGTTCATCACTGAAGAAAGTCAAGACAGGAACAAAAACAGGGCAGGAACCTGGAGGCAGGAGCTGATGCAGAGGCCATGGAGGAGTGCTGCTTACTGGATTGTTCCTCATTGATCGTTCAACCTGCTTTCTTATAGAGCCCAGTGCCACTGTCCCAGGAATGGCCCCACTCAGAGTGGCCTGGGCCCTCCCCGCATCAATCACTAATTAAGAAACTGCCCTACAGCCAGATCTTATGAAGGCATTTTCTTAATTGAGGTTCCCTCCTTTCAGATAACTCTAGCTTGTGTCAAGTTGAGAAAATTAGCCAGTACACCAAGAGAGTATATAGGAAAAATCAGCTAGACAATTCAGGAAATCACAGTGGCTATGAACCAAGATGACTACAGGCATGGCAAGCTGTATCCATATTCCATTCCAACCACACCCTTCTAGTTTTCCTCAAAAGTAGCAAAGGCTCCAGACCTCAGGATCTTGGCATTTATTGCCCCTTCTGCCTAGAACATTCTTTCCCTACACATGCACACGGCTCACTTCCTGCTACTTGCAGATCACTTGTGTGTTATCTCCTCTTTGGTCATCTCAGAACACAAGTTGCACACTCCCCACCACCCCAGATAACTGGCTCCCGTCACTCCAGGACCACCTCACACACTCTATTTTACACTTTTTGATTATTGTCCCTCCTAAAATGTGAGCCCCTTAAAGAGGGATTGCACCTCCTTTATTCACTGCCCTATCTCCAACATCTAAGTGTCTGATATATCCCACGCCTACCTGTTAAATGAAGTGATGGGGTGAGGGTTGGTAAAAATGTAAGTGTTAGTATTCAGGCATCTGTACTGGCCTGTCCTTAGGGCTCTGACAGGACAAACCCTCAGCTGCAGCCACTAAGAGCATCACCTATGCACATTCACTATGTTCCCTTTAAAAGGGCCCTGACCACCTCCCATCCCTCCCCCCTTCTGTTCCTCTCTCTATCCCTCTTTCCTCTCTCCTGCTGATCCTGTCTCCAGAGGCCTGTCTCCCTGCTCTCCTTTCCCCCTTTTATGATCCCTTTCCCTAATTAAAAAAAAAAAAAAACCCAAAACCCTCTGCTTGAACCCTGTTACATGGCGTCTTTCTCTCCTTCTCTCCAGCATGGCTTTGTTTTTTGTTTTGTTTTGTTTTGTTTTGTTTTTTGGTTTTTAGAGACAGGGTTTCTCTGTGGTTTTGGAGGCTGTCCTGGAACTCACTCTTGTAGACCAGGCTGGTCTCAAAGAACTCACAGAGATCTGCCTGCCTCTGCCTCCTGAGTGCTGAGACTAAAGGCAGGCACCACCTGGCTCAGCACTGCTTTCCTTAAATTGCAACATTAAGTATCCCGCTTCTGGTTGTATCTCAATTCTTTGGGAAATAAAAGAGAATGAGGAACTGGAGACCCAGAGTGGTAATAGTGTGGAAAATGGGAGGAGGAGCCTAGGGCACCTGAAAGAATTAATGATCCAGGCAAAGCTGAAGTCTTGGACATACCTTGGCACCACTCTGCTTAGTTGGGCAGTTTGTAATAACCCGACTTTGGGGAGGGAGGGCTGCAGTTGGATCCAGCCAACTTGTCCAGTTTGTACCCGAGAGGGGGAGTGTGGATTGAAGAATGGTATGCAGGTAGGGATACTAAGGAAAAGATAGAGACTCAGTATGGAGTTGGGAGGGCAATCCAGTGACTACACCATGCCCCAAGTGTTTTTTGTTTGTTTGGTTGGTTTGGTTTGGTTTTTGGTTTTCGAGACAGGACTTCTCTGTATTAATTTGTCGCCTGGCCTGGGAATCGCTCTATAGACCAGGAACTCACAGAGATCTGCCTACCTCTGCCTCCTAAGTGCTGGGATTAAAGATGTGAGCCACCAACGCCTGGCCCCAAGTTTATTCTTTAACATTCTTATATACCCCAACCAAAAAGGGGGAAATGGCAAAAGACAAGGAACAGACTTTCTCCCTTAATTCTCCAAACATTTAGTAACCATGCCTTAGACTAAATCGCTCATCTGGCCTTGAGGGTTAAGAGTAACCACACCTTAGATCAAATCTCTTATCTGGGTTGAGACATTCACACTTCAGACCAAACATCTTTCAGTAGCCACACTTTAGACCTTTAGGTCTTATGACTTTAACCTTAGAAGAGTAAGGATGGTTTTGAGCTCTCTGACTTAGTTAAGATGAAGCAGAAACATTTTTATGGGCCCCAAAAGCAGTTTTCTTCATCAGTTGTAGAAGAAGAGGGGCAATAAAAACCAAGAGGGAGAGCTGGAGAGATGGCTCAGAGGTTAAGAGCACTGGCTGCTCTTCCAGAGGACCTGAGTTCAATCCTTAGTAACCACATGATAGTTCACAACCATCTGTAATGAGATCTGGTGTTCTCTTCTGGCCTATAGGCTTACAAGCAGGCAGAGCACTATGTACATAATAAATAAATAAATCTTTTTAAAAAATCAAGAGGGAGGAAAAATTCAAGATTTGCTTTAGACTTTTCTTCTTTTCTTTAAGAAGAAGCCCAACAAGGTTAGCATTTCATTTTTATTTTGTTTTTACATTTATTTGCTTATGTGTTTGTGTGTCAGAGGACAAATCCATGTGAGTTAGTTCTCTCCTTCCACCTCATGAACTCTGGGAAGCAAACTGAGGTTGTCAGCTTTGGTGGCAATTGCTTTAATCTACTAGCCTTCCTTTATGGCCAGCTTCTGCTTTTCCTTAAGAGTTCAGAAAATTCTTTCCTCTGACTTGATTACCCACTCCAGTCATCATTCACCACTAGCCCTACACAAATAAAAACAACAAGGTGCCTTTAAGAGTGACTGATTAGTTAAGAATGTTATTCAACTAACCAATAAGTAAATAACTTTAAGAAGTCAATTTTCCTGGCCTCTCTTTTTTATTCTAATGCCTCTATTTTTTATTCTAATTTTATTCATAAAATTTATTTATCCTAATTTTATTTATAAAACAGCTATCCTTTCTTGGGGTGAGTCACCTAAATGAACCACCATACAGTGTTTGTAGAAATGCAATGGGCCCTTGACATTTACTACCTCATAACACTGAATCTAGGCTTCAGCTACATCATGCAGCAGATGGCTATAATAGTAGTTCTCATTTTACAGACCACTAAAAAGATTAAATGAGAAAAGAAACACATGCAAAGTATTTAACACAGTGTCTAATAAAGTAATGTACCAAATAAATAGCCCATAGGATGAGTTGTTTGTATAGAAACGTGATAGTATCATGTTGAACAGACATAAACTTCCTTATCTGTTTTTTTATTATTATTGATTTATCTTCTTGATTATTATAATCATTATCTGCTTGATTGGGCTCCGTAAATATTGCTATGAGATGTACTTGGTTGTTCGTTTAAATAAGTGCATTTTTAAATATAAATAAATAAGATAAAAGGGTAGTTGGAAAGAAAAAAGACTGTTGATTAGATCATTCCCGGCCCGGTTGGAAAGCGTAGAGAAACATTAAGCCTTCCCTTAAAATCTGAAAGCTGATAAGCCGCCTTCTTCCGTGACGTGACCGTCTGTCTCAGTTCTTCCAGCTGCCCGGACCTGTTACATTCCAGTCCACTTCTTTTCTTGCGCCATCGGCTCCAAACAGGCGTGCTTTTGCTGCACGTGGTTCTCTGTATATAGTGGTTGCCTGGGAGACCCACGCAGGGCGGGGCTCTATTGACGCCACAATAGGAACAAGCCAATAGCCGTGACGCATATCAGTGATGCGAACGCGGGGTGTGGCTTTCCCGGCCCGGGCGCAATGAGGCGGCTGCCCGCTGGGTGGCGCCGATTTCCCGGGGAGGTCCTTTCTGGGCCCCCGGCGGAGGTGGGGGAGAGGCGGGCAGGCACCGAGCGAGGCCAGGGAGCCCTCTGCGTCAGCCACTGCTCGCTGCGCCGCGCCAGTACCAGCCAGGACTCATCCGCAGCTCCATGCTTGTACCGGGTTCGACTCGTCCATCCTCCGAGAAGAGGCAGGTACGTGCCATCTGTCTCAGATCGGGGAAGGGGAAAGCCGGGGTCGGTGCCAGCTTAGAGGTTCGGAAAGTAGGGTGTCAACGACAGCCTGAGCAGTCTGGACATGAGAAATGTGGGGCGAGGGCCAGCTGTGCGGGGGAACTCCAGCTGTGGGTGCCAGTGTGTGAGAGGGGCTGACAGCTGACAGCTCAGGGTGCCAGAAAGAGCCATCTGTGTGCTGATCAATGTGTTCTGAGGAAACAGTTACCGCGGGTACAGGTCTCCATGCCCTGTGTGGTGTGTGGCCTGAGAATGACGCCGGGACCCTGACACCTCCTCTCCCCAGGCGTTCATGCAGCTAGCTACCTCTCTCACTGTTGTCAAATCTCCTAGGGCTGTCTCTGGTCAGTTTTCCAGAGCGGGGGAAGGGGGTTTAGGGGGAAGCCAGCAGTTAAGCGGAAGGGAAAATTTTCCACCAATCCCAAATCAGAAAGAGGCAACTTTAAAATCCTCACCAATCCCAAAGCAAAAGCAGCCATGCAGTGTTCCAAGACAAGCAGCTTGACAAGCAGAGTCCTGGCCAACCCCCTTCTGAGGAGAGAGAACTCTTAGCTCTTGACCCCAGTGCTTTTGAGAATGAGGTTGCATTGAAGATCTCCGATGGGGGCTGCTTATCGCTCCAAATGTAGGCATAAGCACACACACACACACACACACACACACACACATACACACATACACACACACACACACACACACACACACACACACACACACACTGGTCCGCCCACAAAACAAGAGGCATGGTAGATGAGCTAGGGTGGGGGGTGTCCCCTACTCTTTGATGCTGTAAGTGCCTGCCACTCTGGAATGAGGATTGGAATGAGGGCGTCCTCTGAAGTGCATCGTCAGGACCCAGTCTGAGTCAGTACCCTGTGCTGAGACAGGGTGGAGGCCCCAGCCCCGGGGCCTTCCAGTCTCCAGGGAGAGCCGTCAAGAAACAGAAGAATCATCTTGGGAGCAGACAGGTGCACCAAGACCAGAGAGTCCCTCCTCTAGTAATCCTTGTCCAGCCTGCCTTTGCCGCCCTGGAACCCTGAGCCCTCCAACAGGTAGACTGGAACTGCCCCTCTGGGGCTAAGCATTTTCCTGGCAGCCCAGGCAAGCTGCACTTGCTTTTATTTTTTTTTTTTTTTTTTTTATTTTTTTTCCTGAGCAAAGGGGAAAAGAGCACAAGTAGACTTGGCCTTTTGCCTTGAGAAGGTGGCAAGATTGGTCTGCCCTTTCCATTTTGAGGACTGGACCAGTTCAGAAAACCACAAGGCTGGTCTCTGGCATCAGAGCAATCCCCTGAGGGGGTGCCCTGAGGCCTTTTTCTTCTAGGAAGGGTCACCTTCTAGGAAAGGTGCTACTTCCCTGCTACTACTAATGTTAGTAGTAGTTAGATAAGAATGGAAGTAATAACATTGTCATTTATTGAACTCTTACTATGTTCAAAGAAGTTTAAAACCATGATTTGTCCTTATCACTGTGAGGCATGCCATAATCATTACTGTTGTTATTATTTATGGGGTTTTGTTTGTTTGTGCATTCATTTGGGTTTTTGTTTGGTTGGTTTTTGGTTTTTCAAGACAGGGTTTTCCTGGGTATCCTTGGCTGTCTGCTTGCTTAGTAGGCTGGTTGTCCTTAAAATTCACAGATTCTCCTGCCTCTGCCTCCCACTGGGATTAAAGACCTCTGTGCCATCAACCCTGGCTCTATTGTTCAGGTTTTTACAAATTGCATATCTAAGATTGAGAGAGCTATCTTAGAGCCAATAAAGGGAAGAATGGGAATTCAACCTGAGTGCTGGTCCCAAGCACATCCTTGCCCATGTGTTCTGGAGACAGATCCTCCCCATCTAAGAATCCCTGCATCTGGACTAGAAGTTTGGCCTGTTCCTGTTGGTTCAATCTGTGACTGACAGCTCTAGAGAATCCACCTTCCCCATATTTGGGACTCCAATTCAACCCCAGCCCTCTGCTCTATTCCCTCTTGGTCCTTCCTGTTTTAGTTCCAAATATCCCCTCCCAGGATTCTAGCTAGTGCTCTTCAGCTCTAACACTGGCCATCAGGTGGAAGGTGGGCATGTCACTGCCCCTTTAATTCTCCTGGGGCTTGGAATGCAAGTGAGTTGCCATCTCCGTGAGGTCAGATAAGATACTATATATATCTAGCTAGTAACCTGAGCTCCGGATTACCCAGCCCCAGTTAGACTCCAGCTTCTGGACTCTACACTGCGGCCCCATCCCTGCTGGGGAAGAAGCCCCCAGCTCCCATCCAGTGCTCCTGGACACAGGTCAGTACCTCTCTCTTTGGTCTCTGAGTTTCAAGGGCAACTAAGTGACCCAAGTAAGCCCTGAGTGAGTTTGGAGGAGCATGGCTGATGCCACCCACTGGCCTGGTGAGTGTGAGTGCTGTAACCAAGCCCAAATGCTCAAGACTTGGGAACAGAGGACAGCTGATGCCCTAATGGGAGAGAGATGGCATTCTCTCCAGAGAAGGGGGCACTGAGGGGGTACCTGAGCATAGGAGGATGAGAAAGAGAATTGAAAGGTATCTCTGCTTCCAGGAAACCTCTTTCTTTGCCTTTTCTTAGACTTACAGAGATAGTCACCCTTCCCAACTGCAAATCCAAAAACACCCTATAGCAATGCCCCTGGGCCTATGCACTTCTCCACAAGTCAGGGTGGCTGTTGTCATCTCTTCCATCTCTGATCTCTATCTTACCTCCTCCTCTCCCATACCCCCTCCCACTTTGAGGTACCTCCTAAAATCAGAAATAGAGACTGACACAAATTCCTTTGCATGACCCCCCAAAAGGCAAAAGGATCCTGTGATAAGAGGGTGGGCTGCTAACAACAGGTCAGAGGTCAGAGGTCAGCTGGGGCTCAAGGGGCTGAGAGGAACAGATGGTATAACGAGTAAAGGTATGCCACCCCCATCTTCCTGCTGTTTCCTCACATCTGCCCGAGTGGACACTTGTGGCCCAAAAGAGCAGCCAAGGATTCAGGCTGCCAGGAAGGTCACAGACGATGACAGGGCCCCTGTCACCTATCTTACCCCTCAGGTCAGCACATTCTGATGTAGTTAGCAAGCAGCTTTGGGAAGCTCTGAGGTCACCATTGTGGAGGTTCCCAAGCACCTAGTGAGATGGACTAGGACTCCCCACTGACCTGCCCTGAACATCTGGGTAGGAGGAAAGGAACTCAGTGCTGTCTGGGTATGTCTGTGAAGTTTGTCTTGTGGAGAATAGGAGGCTTCTGTCAGACAGTAGCAAAGCCACAGATGTGGCTATGCCTTTTCCTCAGAAAGATGAGCACATGCAGACAAAGGGACATGGAGTCTGTTGCCATATGGGGCATCACCCACCCCTGCCTCCAGGGCCAGGAGTGCCTGGGATTCTTGAGGTTTAAGCCCCTCCCCTAGCTGGGCAGGTTAGGGAGCCCTTCACGTGAGCTACAGGAAATGACAGAGACTGATGACAGTGACTTGATGCCAGGAGCTTGGCTGCCTCAAGGGAACAGGGTTCGTTTTAACCCCTGACTCACCTAGTGTGGGTACCATGGGAGCAGGCTAAGCAGCAGCCAGGGGAGGAAAGCTCAAGGCTGGGACCCAGGAACCCCAGCATGGGGTAGATAACAGTACCAGGGGACACACAGAGCTTGGCACAGCAGGTGAAATGGAGGCCTCTCTCACCATCTCATGGCCGATCAGTATTGTGCTGCAGCTCAGGTTACACCAGGCTTCACTTTCATTCACCTACTGAGGAAAATCCAGGAGCTGCTCCTTCAGGAAGAAGTCTCTCCTAGCTAGATAAATGGATATCTACATCCTGGAGGGGTCCTCTCTCGACTCCATGGGCCCACAGTTCTGCTTCAGGGACTGGGGATAGCTTCAGAGTGTAGAGGACAGCATGGTCCCATCCAGCTCCAGTAGTTCGGAAACTCATTGGGAGAAACAATTATTTCCTTGTCTGCAAGTAGACATATTGTTAGCATCCAGTACTTAAGGTTGCCAGGAGAACTGAGTTAATACACTATAGCCCAAGTCAATGCAGTTTTAAATATTAAAACCTCTAGAAATATGAATGATAAAAACTTCATATGAGTGTTGGTCAGTGGTGGTGCGTGTCTTTAACCCCAGCAGATATCTGAGTTTGAAGCCAACCTGATCTACAGAGTGAGTTCTAAGACAGGCTCCAAAACTAAAGAGAAACCTTGTCTCAAAACAAATAAAACAACTTCATTTGAAAGTTTCACTATTAGGTGGGTATGGTGGCTCATATTCATAATCCCAGCACTTGAGACATGAGACAAGATAAAAAGTTTGAGGCCTGCCTAGGCTACAAAGTAAGACCTGTCCCAAAAATTCACTATTTAAATTTTTTGTCCATTCAAAATTATGGATATCCTTTTCATTTTAATTTAATGTAAGCAATATAACCTTTGTGATTATGTTTATAAGCCTGAGTATGTACTTATCTGAAAAAGTTCAAACTTGCATCTATACGGAGACTTTTAGGATTCCACATCTGAGCACACTGCCAAGAAGGCTAGGGAGGGCCATGTGCATATGGTATGAGGCTGCCCGGCAGATAAAATCAGAAGCTGCATATAAGATCCTCAGTCAGGTTGGTGCCTGGTCTATAGGTGGGTAGGACCTGGGAGCTACAGCTGCAAAACTCCTGTGTCCCCACAGGAAGCTGAATGCATCTATGCAAACAATGCCAGCATGCCAATTTCTGAGGGAATTTTTGCAAAATCTCAGAAGGGAGGCAGCAACAGCTCTGTAAAGATGGCATGAAGGAGCATGGGTTGGGACTACTCCCGTTGTCCAAGGTGGCAGGCACCTGGGGATACACAGCCAGGAGCCACATGCCTGAACTTGCCAGTTGTGGATAAACAGTGAAAGGAGCCAGGCAGCAGGGGCCCCACACTGGACAGGGAGGAGTATGGGGGATCCCAGCCAATAGGCTGGCCTCCCAGTGCCCCATGAAAGAGCCATTCAGTCCCCAGCCGTTCCTGTGGCAACAGGGAGACTCGAAGCTATGTGAGTGCTGCCCTTCCTGTCCCTGTCTTGCGCAGCAAGGCCACAGCCAGATCCCCAACTGAAGCTCCTGCCCATGGTGCATTCTGTAGCCTCCAGGGACAGCAGTACCAGGTAATGCCAAGAGATACCAACTTAAACTGTCTCTCACCTAGAAGGTGTTGGGACTCCTCCCTTCCCCCCACCCCTTAGGAGTAGGGTTGTGGGGCAGCAGGGGGAGATGTGCAAGGGAACCCTCTTAGACCGAACCCTGGGAACTGTGAGGCAGACATCAGAGCTGAGTGACAATTTCCGGGACTGTGATGGAGTAACTAGTAGGTCTGGGGGAAGGGGAGAAGAGAGGCTTGGCAGTTCCCTGCCAGATTGGAGCAGACAAGAGAGCTGGGATTGGGGAGACTTTTCCAGGGCCCTGAGAGCTAGAAAATGTGGTTCCAGGTCCAGGGCCTTAACCGTGCCAACACTGTCTGTCCCTGTGGCTGTTTCGTGTTTAGCCTGGGCACCTGTGCGTCATCCTTAGGGCTAAGAGAGGTCACAGGCTTGGGGCACTGCCCGCAGAATACCAATTCCCTAGGAGCCTCAGTCTGGGAGAAGGGAGGGAGAGTCATGGGGAGGAGCCATGAGCTCATGCAGGCCAATCTGATTGGCTGCTGTATGTCCCAGAGCCCAGCTCCTGAGACCTGTAGTCTCTTTGACTTTGCATTATTGATGGAGTTCTCCAAAGTGAAATAGAGTAGGACAGGTCTCCTACCCCCACCTCTAAGCCTCTGCCTGTCCTCCCCATCCCATGGTTTCCCTCTATCCCTCTTCAGATCCTCCCCCAGTTACTATTTCCCTGAGCAGTGTGGAAGTTGCTTGGGAGGAGGGAACATAATGGACAAGGAAGTGTACACACAGGGCTTCGGGGTCCCTGGAGCCAGGCAAGAAAAGGACAGACAGTAGAGATAGACAGCCTTTCTGATGCCAGCCAGGATTGAACATTGCTGGAGGGCTGTGGCACAGTTAAGGACCACTGTCCTGTGGCCACATGCTTACCTCCCAACTCTACATCTATCCCAAGCCTAGAGCAGCTTGAGCTTCTATAGCCTTCTGCCAAGCTCTCAGCATTTGGGGCTTGGCACACACCCCTCTCTGCCCTAAGAAGCTGGGCTGGGGGCCTAGGAGAGCTGTGGGCTGCTTGAGCTGTGTCTGCTGAATGGCTAGATTTCTACTCACTGCCCACTTAACTCACTGGGGGTGGCAGGGGGGAAGCCTGGCGCCCAAGCTGAGGTTGAGCCAGCCAAGCCAGAAGATGACCAGCCCTGCCATTATTATAGACTACAAAGGGAGGAGCCGGGCCGCCTGGCTGGGGTTACGGAGGAGATAATAACTACTCATTGTTAAGTGCTTTCACGTGTTATTATCTCACTTATTCCTCACAAAAACAAGATAGGAATCCTGATCATTATTATACTCATTTACACAGGAGGAAATTGGGGCTCAAAGAAGTTAAATAACTAGTGTAATTTTGCTCAGCTAGTCTGTCACAGGGAAGCCAAAACCAACCCTGGGACCAGAGAGATGGCTCAGCAAGTAAAAAAGCACTTGTCATCATACTTGACGACCCACATTGGAACCCCAAAACTACATGGTGGAAAGATAGAACTGACTCCCACAAGTTGCCCTCTGACTTTCATGTATGCTACATACAAAAGCACACACAAACGGGAGTGAGGGAGAGAAAGAAAAGGGGGAGGGTTTAAATCAGACGCCACTCTGCGAGCCCCCGACTCGAGTCCCTGAAGTAAGGAGCCTAATGCTCCTTGCTCCTTTCGGAAAGCACCTTCTCTACTCCTACCCAGACCAGTCTAACTGTGATGAGGAACAATAAAAGCAAGGCTGAGGGGAAGGAGTCCTGGCCCACAACCCGGGTTCCAAGCCTGACTCTGGATAGCGTGTGAATTTAGGCAAACGGGCACCACTTTTCCTATCTGTACCATAGAGAGGTTAAAAATGCCTGACCCTTAGGGCTGTCCAACCTCCACATTCAGGGATCAATCCTAAAAATCCTTCAATCTGGGAGACTCTGCAGTGCAGGGTCTTGTCTCTAGGGGGCACCTCTTGCACAAGTAAATAACTCCAGGTGCAGTTTGGCACCTGCATCGATAAGGAAACCTCGTAGGAGGCCACTTAGACTAGGCCGGACTCCGGGAAGACAATAGATAGGTTCCATGTCGCCAGCGTTCCCCTCAATGTGTGACCAAACAGGTGCCTGTGTCCAAGGAAGAGACTGAGGTAGGTCTGGTCCAGCCCCTCTGCTGGACACTCCCTCTCCACCTCCCTAGCTCACGTCCTCTCCCGAGAGCTTTTTCCTCATGAGGACTCTGTCCTTATAGCTGTCAGGACATTTCCAGGGGCAGTCTATGCCTGAAGGAGTATTGCTTGTCAAAGGTAGGGAAGCAGTTATAACTCAAAATGCTCCTTGTCGGCCAGGCGGTGGTAGCACAGGCCTTTAGTCCCAGCACTCAGAGGCAGGCGGATCTCTGTGAGTTTGAGGCCAACCTGGTCTACAGGACAGGCTCCAAAGCTACACAGAGAAACCCTGTTTCAAAAAAATAACACAAATGCCCCTTGTCCTCAGTCCATGCAATGAGGGTGGTGGGGTCCCCCCAACCCCCCACCAGCTCTGAAGTTCCTGCCAAGACTTACAAGAAGATCTAGAAATTCTCTGTGACATAGAGGTCTGGGGAATAGGAGAAGCTAGGCCTCTTGCATGTTTGGGTCTTGGAAGACTCAAATGATGCTAATTTTTCCTGTGTGTTCATGGGTACACGTACATACCTGTCTGCATGTGTGTTGCTCTGAAGCTAAGCAGCCTCTTGTGGGCAGGCCTAGAGTGGCCCCTGTTGGACCTTAAGGTCTAGGCCACAAGAGCAAACACAGAGTGGGTCTAGTACCTTGCAGGACCCTTTTGACAACTGTTTTCCTTGTCTTTCAGCCCATGAGGCTCCCAGTACCCACTGAGTGCCACCCTGAAGGATGTCCCAGCTCTCCTCCACCCTGAAGCGCTATACAGAATCGTCCCGCTACACAGATGCCCCTTATGCCAAATCGGGCTATGGCACCTACACCCCCTCTTCCTATGGGGCCAACCTGGCCGCCTCCTTCCTGGAGAAGGAAAAACTTGGTTTCAAGCCGGTCTCCCCCACCAGTTTCCTCCCACGACCCCGAACCTATGGCCCCTCCTCCATCCTGGACTATGACAGGGGCCGCCCCCTGCTGAGACCTGACATCATTGGGGGTAGTAAGCGGGCTGAGAGCCAGACCCGGGGCAACGAAAGGCCTTCAGGCAGTGGACTCAACGGAGGCAGTGGATTCCCATATGGAGTGACCAGCAACTCACTCAGCTACCTGCCCATGAATGCCCGAGACCAGGGGGTGACCCTGAGCCAGAAGAAATCGAACAGCCAATCAGACCTGGCCCGGGATTTCTCCAGCCTCCGGACCTCAGATAGCTACCGGACTTCAGATGGCTACCGGACCTCAGATGGCTACCGGATAGACCCTGGGAACTTGGGCCGCAGCCCCATGCTGGCCCGCACTCGTAAAGAGCTCTGTGCCCTGCAGGGCCTCTACCAAGCAGCCAGCCGCTCTGAGTACCTAACTGACTACCTGGAGAACTATGGTCGCAAGGGCAGTGCGCCACAGGTGCTCACACAAGCCCCTCCCTCCCGAGTCCCTGAAGTCCTCAGTCCCACCTACCGACCAAGTGGCCGCTATACACTGTGGGAGAAGGGCAAGGGCCAGGCTTCTGGGCCCAGCCGCTCCAGTTCCCCAGGGCGAGACACCATGGTGAGTTTACTCTTGGGGATCCTATAATGAATGGGCTGGGGAGACAACCAGTGTTATAAAGGGCCAGGCTAGGAACAGAACTCTCAACCTGACTGATGATCGATAGCAGCACTATTACTAGTGCTAGAAAAGCAAGAGAGGTCATCCCTGCAGGACTGGTGGCCCCATGGCTCATAGCTGAGGGGAAGGGCTGAGCCGTGCTCCAAATATTCTCACTTGGGAATGGTGCAAAGATGCTCTAGAATGTTTGGACACCCCTATCTGCATTGCTCTACTTGCCCTGTACTTTCCCATCGAAAATGTCAGGGTTCCGTGTAGGTCCTGGTCCATCCACAGCTGGATGCCAGAGTGGCAGTGACCACAGTGCTCTCTGTGTGAAGAGAGCCATCCTCCCACCCATCCCTGCTCTGGATGTTTCTCCTCCTGTCCAGGCATGAGCTATCAAGAGTAATAAGACTCTTGCCCTGATGACGGCAGCTCACATCCAGGGTATCTGGATAGTATCTTTGGAGAAAATAGTGCAGAGTCTTTTGTCTGGGAATAGAGATGATCTAATACCTCAGTACTCCAGCCCTGACTGGGTTGGAATGAGGGAAGAGGTTCTGCTGGAGAATGACCAAGGGCTGGCATCGCCTCCCTCACATTTAATCCCCAAACACACCTCCCCTCCGGCAATGACTACATTCCACCTTTCCTGTAGTTGCTGGTGCGTCCATTAGATGGCGAGCGCTCAGAGATTTAAAGCGATCCTATCTCTACCTCCCTCCCCAGGGCCTCTGGCAACTCAGAGCTCAGCTGACCTGCTGATTGCATGGATGGATGGATGAGTGACTAGACTGGAGGGAGGGAGAGCTGGGGGAAGGCAGCGAGGTGTGGGTAGTTGGATTAGTGGGCAGAAGAACGCATAAGCAGGCAAGCATGTGGACAAGAGGGTTGGGTGCTGTGTTCTCTGTTTCCTTATGGACCCCTCCTCATTGAACATATGTCCTTTGTAAAAGAGCTATGCCACAGCCAGAAATGATGCTTCAGAGGATTTTGTTCAGGCAAACAGAGGAGGTATTCTGGACGTGGGGTCATAGTTGGATCATAAACTATAAAGTGTGTCATGATGAAAGGTCTTGGGGCAACTTGGTAATCGTCCTTAAAGTGTTTCAGCCTTGCTGGGCCATCTGGGAAGTACGGTAGATCCAAAATCTGTGTCTCCCAGGACATTCCCACTCCAACAGTTAGGGTTGCCTATAGGCATGGGATGGAGTAGAATCCCCTTGGAACATGTCCAGCATTGTCCACCGGGGCAAGGGGCAATGAAAACACTCCTCTCGGTGGAGGGAGCCTCTGCTGGCTTTCCCTTGGTTCAAAAGAAAGGAACTTTTCGGGTATATGCATGTTTCTCCATGGGGTCTGCTGGTAACTTGCATCAGAATCCTTTAACAGTTCACCAGACCCCCTGAAGCGAACACTCTCAGTATAGTGCCTCAAAATCTGCCCTGTCAGAAGCTTTTCGGGTTGTATAAGCACACCAAGGCTGAAGCCTTCATGGCCAAAGGCTGAACTACAGACTCCCACCATCTGCTGTCATGAGAGTGTGGTCTGGTTTCTGGGAGTCAGATCCCTCACCACCTAAGTACAACTCCTCCTGGAGTCTGCTGCCCCCTTTCCCACTGCTCTCCCGGGAACACTTGGCCCTACCTCACTCCAGGGCCAGAGAGAGTTGTTTTCAGAAAGGACCCCAAAGGTGTAACACATGCCCTGAGCAAGCTCAGTTCCTGGCCTCTCCATCCCTCCCACCCAGTACTGTGAGGTGGTCAAGAATGTCCTAAAGCTGAGCTAGCACTTCATCCTGATACCACGAGCCAGGAGAGACCTCCAAGAGCTCCCTGATCTATGATCAGCACTTAACCTCAGCCTGCTTGTGTTCCCTTCCTCACCCTGAGGAGTGAGAGCAAATGCCTTGACATCTGCCCCATCACACGCTTTGCAGTAACCTCTGTTCCTCAAAGCTGACTTCTTTCTAAAACAAGGCTTTGTCACAGCGTTCTGCTTTCTAGCTCTGTACTCTGCACCCAGCCCTGAGTACTCTGGGCCTAGCACTGAGGTCTCTGCATCTGGCACTTGGCTTTCTCAGGCAATTTCCTTCACTTCAAAGCTTGTTTGCTCTTCTGTAAAATGGAAAGCACTCAGTTCCCATTACACAAAATACCGTGAAAGAGCCCAACCAACACATAGTAGGTGCTCAGAAAAGGTCAGTCATGCTGTGCTGTGGTGATGCACAACTCTAGTCCCAGCAGTCAGGAGGCAGGAGTATCTCTGTGAGTTCAAGGCCAGCCTTGTCTACATAGTGAGTTCCAGGATCCTGTCTCAAACAGAAAAAGTCAGTCATCTTTGCCAGGGGTTTTAGGAGACGAGAATGTACGAGCCAGTTCAGTTCACTTCAGGAAATCCATTCTTACCTGATTACAACAGGAGACAGGCTTGAGTGTTTGTGTCATCAGCAGCAGAGAAGAAAGAGGTCATCTGAGGACAAACCAGACTGTCAGAGACCTCTGAAAGACACAGTCTGACCCTTTAACCTTGGATGCCTATCTGCTCAGATGTATTTCCTCCTCTATAAAAGAATGATCACACCTACCCTGCCCCCCTCATAAGGATGCCACAGGGCTCAAAGCAAACAGTGAGTGTGGAGACATCTCAAGCCACTAAAACAGTAAATGGCCAACCTGAACTTGGAGCATCACAGGCTCCAACGAGTAGAGAACTGTGTGAGGAGGGATGTAGGCACCGTCAACATGCCAGTAAGTGAAGATGCAGCTCAGCCCTGGGACTGTGAGGGTCTCCCCTGAGGTTCCATTTTCACTAAACAGGCAGAATGATAAGCCAGGAGCCACCAAGGTATGAGGAATAAGCTCACTGTCCCAGTGACGGTGGCGATTGCAAGCCAGCCCAGGTGGTTCAGCCCTGCTGCATCTAGAGCCAGAGAGCACCAACCCGTCAGTCCCCCTCCGCCCCACCTCTTCTGTTCCCGGGGCCTATGGAAGGACAAGCTGTTCCCTCTGAGCACTGCCAGGCCTGTGCTTTAACCCCTACAATCCTTTCTAATCCTCCTATGATCCACCCCCCCAGCTGCTCCCTGGCCAGCCCTGGCACCGTGCCTGCTGGCCTTGGGCCTTGCACTTGCCCCGCCCAGGCCTCACCTCCTCTCCCCAAGAAGGGCCAGGGTTGGCCCAGAGCCCTTTCCAAGCACAGTCAGCAGGCTAGGTACCTGCCTCCTCCACACAGAACAAGGAACTGAGGGGCCCAGGTCTGGCCTAGGCTGTCCTCTGACACGCACAATCTGCATGCCCCCTTCTCTCCCTGCTCAGGAACCTGTTTCTAGAAGTGATGGAATCTGAGTCTCCTGGTCCTGTTTGACACTGGGGCTGCTGACTCATCTTCTGAAGTCTTGGGTTCCAGCTGTTCAGTGACAGGCAGATTATATAAGCCAGGGTCATGTGACCCACCTCTCTGGTGGGACTCTGAACTATAATGGTGCCCCACAGTGAGAACAAGTGGAGGATGGCAGTGATAGCCCAAGAACTCCAGGATAAAAAGTGGACCTTCCTCCTGTCTCCTGCCCTCTCTGTTGACTCAGCCACACTGGACCGTACCTGGGCTCACTCTTTTTGTCCAGCTGGGCAGCCTGAGACCCTAGGGCCTGTCCTCGCCTGGCCCACCCCAGCCAGGCTCAGACACCCTGAGGAGGCCCAGCTTCCTGAGGGTGTCAGTCTGTGCTGAGTGAGAAGGTCACTCAGAGGAGACATTAAGTAAGAGCCCCCAAGGCCAGGACAAGTCCTATCTACTTAACAGGAAGGGCAGCAGGTTTGGGGTTGACTATTAAAATCAGTGCTAATGTCTCCATCCCACTAAGACTTGCTACGGGCTATGATCTGGTACCACTCTCGGCACTACTTTAACCAGCTCCATTTCTCAACCAGTGTCCAGAACCCTCCATCCATCCTGCCTTCCCTTGAACACCGCCTCCCCACACACACACAACACACACACAAACTCCAGGATGTCGCCATAAGTTAATACAGTGCTGGGGTGGGGTAAAGCAACACAAGTTAATCCAAGCCTAGCAAAATGTTCCCTGCCCCTGGGGGACCCGCTCCACTGACCATCAGCCTCAGAAACAAACATCATGTTCAGAGCTCAGAGCTGCACACGTGGTCCCTTGTCCCTTCTTACCTCAATGGATACATAAAACTGGCACCCGAGACAGAACTATAAGCAAGAGAAGGAAGTGTGTGGGCTTCCAGAATTTGGCTGGTTCAAGCCAGATTTCCTGGGCCTTGAAGGAGCACAGAACATTTGACCTGTGGGGGTCTAATTCGTACAAGGAAGTAGAGTTTCCTGCAGCTGATGGGAAGGGTAAACTGACCCAAGGTACACTGCGGGCTGGAAGTCCAGCCCCTCCCCAAAGCTCAGGGCCCCTGCTTTTTCATGACCCAGTCAAGCCTGCTGTCTGTTTCTGTGACAACGACCGACACTCGCAATGATTGGGGCCACTAGCCTTGAAATATCTTCCAAGCCCAGGCAGTGTCACCTGGACAGAGCTGCCCACTTGGATGTGAGAGCAGCAGCATGGTTTCAGTCCCTGACCTTGTAGAGCTAACCCTGACTGAGGTAAAGAAAATGGCCTGCCCTGCACCAGAGAAATGGCAGTCTTGGGGCTGCAGGACTAGCCCGCATGGCTCTGAATATTTCAGACTCAAGAGTCACTGAGCCTCAGCCAGATTTAGACCCCCAAAGGACTACCTCCTTTTTACCCAACCACTTCAGGAAATGGCTCTGAAGAGAAGGGGGTCTCCCAGAAATTTGGCTAGTTGAGAAGTAAGCTATAGATCTTTGTTGGCTGCATTTTGCAGCAGCCAGACCTGCCGGACAAGACTGGACACTGTGTGAATCTGTTTCCCTCACCCTAGATTTCTCAAAATACTCCCATGCAACAGCTTTCCCCATCT